TTAGCTCTTTGTCTAACAATACCATATAAATCTAAATTGCAGACTTTGTAAACAAATTATAAAAATTCCACAATCTTTTCATTCCAATTCTAAATATTTTAACTGTAATTTTTAGAATAATTTTTGGTATGCAGTTTTATCGCTTATTAAATTCTAGTATAGTAGTAGTGCACTCGGAGGTTTGCCATTACTTGCGGAGGGGCGACCGCTGTTAAGGAAAAACCTTTTTTTTTAATTTTTTGCGATGTGGAAGCGCGCACTGCTTACTACTACACCACAGCGGCCGCAGGCATTTAAATTTCTCTGTCGATTTCTATAGATAGAAAGAAATTATTTTAAGGTTAGGTTAAACGGGCAGCTCTGAAAAGAGTTCACTCGGAAGTCACAAAGGCTTTCTCCAAGGTATCCAGGCTCTCGTAGAAATGGTCCCAAAGAAGTTTGAGGCGTTTTCCTCAGAGTGCTGTGCACTCGCAAAAGAAGTACTACACGGATTCTATCTCCTTCTCATCTCTGCAGCTTTTGCAGAAGTCGTTATACGGGGTTCCGAACCTGGTGGCCATTTCGCCGAAGGTATCTATTGAGTTTTGATTTCTGAAGTATTAGACAAATTTATGGTTATGGCACATCTATTTGGGATTTTAATTGCTGTTACGGGGTACTTCTTTTGAGTCTATGGAGGCCGCAAAACAAAATTCATTGAAAGAAATATGGGCTATGTTATATCTAAGTGAAGCTACTTACAATGAGATAAAATAAATCTTAATGTTTAAATGGAAATTTAACAATTCTTGGTACATTTTTTTATAAGATATATGGCCTTTCACACATATGTGTGTATGTGTGTACTAAAAGATGAATAAAATTCATAAAAATTACGTTTTCAAGACTAACTTTGACTGGACGTTTTTCCATGTGGAACACCTGGCAACACTGATTAACTTCCGAAATTCAATCCCATGAGAATTAGAAACGTAAGTTGTGAATTGTATTCCCGTTACAATTCTGCATTTATCTCAGTACTTTCCAAATTTAATGGATTATGTGTTTAAGTAGAGATTGTTGAACAAATTCAGAAATTCATTTTCAGATGCAGCGCTTACCCTTCTCTTCATCGATTTGACAACGTCCACCCATTCCCTGACGTCACACAATACTTTTGTTTAAATTCACTATTGCCAACTTCGTGCTTTTCGCACCAAATTTAGTGGGTATTCAAAACGCGAAAATTTTTGAGTTTGGATGCGTTTTTGGTGCCTTTGATTTTAGTTTGAAGACACCAAATTTGTAAATCTTAAACAAATGGAAGCAAAATTTATAGCAATCGTAGGTGTGGTAAGCAACAAAAATTGAAACATAATCATGGCCCGGTGACAATCATAAGTGACAACAAAATATGTGGCAGCACCTTCAATCATACCAGAAGAAATCGACCGTCGTGCAAGAAACATTGATTTTTATTAATTTGAATCGGCATCCTTACAATAAAATTATGTATGCGTATAAAGTCCATTAAATACACCAATAGAAATTTGATGCTTTTTCAAATTCAAAACTTGGCAGTACTGCCTTTTGTTTGATGCTTCCTCTTTTTTTTGGAGTTCGTCTTGCTCTCTCATTCTGGTATTTGTTGACGTCACGCCCGGTTGCTCCCAGCTCCTTCACTGCAAATATCAACACACTTGCCCCATTTCAAACCATTTTTTTTTACAAATTAAAAAAAAACTTTAAAAATTTAGTCGCCAGTGGTGTAAGTCTCAAGTACTCCGCTCATCAAAAGTTCTTCTTCGATTTGCATTGAGAATGGGTACCCCACAAAACACAACAACAACAGCAAGTCCCACTACGTCGGCACTTTCGTCAAAGCTGCAAACTAAAAATTCAAAGTTTTCAATATTTTTATAAGTTCGTTCCCGCCCATGGTACAATAATTACAGGTATTGTGTTCCCAGAGAGCGCATATTCCGATCTGCCTTATTTAAAAAATATCATTCTTGCCCACACTAAAAAGTTTACTGCTAGGGAAAATGGATATTTCCATACCTCATATACCATATATGTACATGTGTTTTTTTAAACAAACCTTGCAGAGAACTTATTTAATTTGCAAAAGCCGAAAAAAAA